ATTCTCCATATAATTAAAGGAGAAAGACAAGGATTCTGGAGAGGGAAGAGGTTCAGTTCACTTTTTCAACTGCCTGAGCCTGACCTAAGCTCAGATTGAAGCAATTAAATTTATGTGTTATGTGTCTCAGATCACATTACAGCTGTCTGTCCATCCAGTTGCCTAAACATAGGTGCCTGTGTCATTTGGGATGCAAAAGGGTATCCAAAATATCCACTTGAGTTGGTAGATACAAAGTCTGGGAGACTCCTTCCGCTTATAGAGTAGTGCTGGTGGGGACGGAACTGAACTGGCAATAGACACTTGTGTTTAAGTGGCTGTTCCACATCTTTCATGCTTTAAAACCACTGCATTCTAGATTCTAATTATATGTCCTTTTTTTTAAAGATGCTAAATTCCCCATGCAGAGCTGAGCCCAAACTCCAGCCACTGTATGATCCTGCTGGTGTAACATTTTAATTTAATGCCCTTGTATAAGCACAATCCCAGCATAGACAGATGTTCATCTTCAGATCTTTTATTATAGAAATAACTTATATTCTCTTCACATACATATGGAGAGGAAAACAAAACAAAACAAAACAAACAAACACAAAACAAAACAAAATCCTAACCTTATACATGTTTTCTGTTCTGTCAGCAACACCAGAGGAAACTTACACCAGATCATAAAGCGGATAACAGGCAATGTCAGGAAATTAAAACTCTCTCAAGGCAATATGACTGAAACCCTGGGGTAGAAATGAAGGTACTTAAGCTTCATATCTTGGTCATCAGTCATGTGAAACCAACCAATTCACTTAAGATAAATGCACATTAACAAAGCAGAAGTTGAATTATAACCACTGCCAGTGTTTCGCTGGGAGTCATGTTGCAGAGAGTGCAGTGGGGAGGGATTGCAGGTTCAGTCCAGGGTCTGCTTAAGTCTTCCCCAAGACCAGTTGAATATGGCTCCAAATTTAAGATTAAGATCCTGGGTTTCCTACAAAATTGTCCTTGTGGAAATTTCCTGGCCTTTCCATTTTCACTTTCCAACACTAATCTTTTATAGACCTTTCTGTCCTCTGACCCATGCCCTGCTCCTGCCCTTCCATCTTCTCTGACTAATACCAGGCTCCAAAGTCTTCTTCCTTCTCTCCAGAAGTAGCTGGGATTCATCCCACACATTTTCAACTGCCCTGCAATAGTCACCGTATCCATGACACGTTTGAGATTTTTCTCAAATAAGAGGGAGCTTTCAGTCCCTCTGGTGCCACCACATCTCCCAGACTTGTGGTCTCAAAAGGCTAGCTCCAATCTTTTTAATAATTCAACACTTTGGACATGTTTGCTGTTCTGACTTACCTGAGTTTATTTCTGGAATGTCCTTTCTAAGCTGCCCTCCATCAACATCATCAACTATCAAAAGAAGTAATACACCTAAGTTAGTGACTAAATTACATGAGTCAATATAATTTCCCACTTGATGACTGATAGGCTTCCACTAACATAAAAATATTGCATCCTTACCTCTGTCTTCAACAGAGTTTTGGATCTGAAACATAGAAAGTACAGTTTCAAAATCACAGACAAATGAAGTGAAATCTCACCCTGATACCAGGCCAGAAAATAGAGGAGCAGGTGGGAATACCGTAAAGGCAGAGGAGCAGGTAACCAGTGCTATGAAACAGCATATCCTCCAGAAATCCATTTCAGAAGATCACTTAGTGCTACCTGCCAGTGTAGATATAGTGCCCTGCAGGTGAATAGCCTTCAGAAGTACTGATAAGCATAAGTCATAAAAAAAGTTGAACTTTAAAAGGAAGATCAGATTTTAATTGTATTAAATACAGCCATAAGCCAACCCAATAAGTAATTTGCCTCCCCATTTTATAACTTTTCTTAGCATATTAACCCTTCTAGCAATCATGAGATATTGAACTACTTAAAATTTCTGTGACTTCTTCAGAGATAATCTCACTCTTTTCTTCTGCTTTACAAACCATCCTGGCCTCATCCTAACATGAAACCACTAAAGCTGCTGAGTATGGAAGTAACAATCTCTTCTAAAGAAAGGCTCACAGTCTGCAACCTGAATAAATCACTTGAAGAGAAGGTTTGCTTGGGTTTTTCTGTATTCCTGGAAACATCTTGGTAGATGCAAACAAATTTTTGTTTTCATCTGATTCTATGGGTAAAACATTATCTTTTGTTTAAATATAATGCTATTTTTGTAATCAGCAGAATGCCAGCCATCAAGTTCCAGCAAAATATGTTGTTTTGAGTTTTCTCAGGAGATCTTGCAGACTTTCTCTCAGAGTAGGAGCGCAGCAAGGGGTATTGGTTTGGTCCCACTCAACATGCCTATGAATCCATGTGCTCCCAGTGTTTGGCATGGGAATCCCACCCAGGTCTTTCCCCGTGAACACAAGCCACGTGGGCCAGGCTGAAGCAGGGCAGGAGAAAGGCCCCTTGGTGAGAAGACTTGAGCAGGGCTGAGCTTTGCCTCCGACTGTTTGGAGGGTTTCTTCTCCTGGCAACATCATGATGGGGTTTTACACGTTCCTGCAGCTCTCTTGCTCCCACACTCTTCCTGCACCTCCTCCTCTTCCTACCTTCACACCACTGCTGCTACCTTTGCCTCCCCTTTGCTCACTTGCCCAGCATCACGCTGCAGCCCCATCCTTCAGGGGAAGGACCGTCCTGATGTGGCTGTGGTGGGGGGAAACAGGAGATATTCAGCAGGGAGCTCCCTGGCCACGCTTTGCAGCCTGGATGTGATCTTTCCTTCCATCCTGGGAGACCCCAGCTGTCGGGCGCTGTGAGAAGTAGGAGGGTTGTTATGGGACAGGAAGGGGGGTAATTGCACCAGACTGCGGTGAGGGGGACAGGACTGGCCACCTTGAGAGTCCAGGGTCTCTACAGTTTGTACACTCAGTACTACTCCCTGCATGGGACATCTGCCTGGCCAATCCCATCAATCTGGTGGGATCGGAGAGGGGCATGAGGTACCGGTGAGTGCAAAGAAGGAGTTAATCCACATGCCTTATCAGCATCTTTCCCCCAGAAGCATGATCACAAACCATCCCATAAAACTGAGGCTACAAGAGAGGAAACAAACCGAATTCACCAAAAAGTATCCATCAATTCCAAGCCTGCCTGTCATAGAAGCAGCAGAATGGGGATTACAGGGAGAGAAATTGCCAAATCAGCCTCCTGAAACACAGCTTGCAAGGGAAGAAAATCCACTAGTGGCCAACTGGCACAAGCTAGCCCTGACTCCTGGACTCAAGGGCATAGACCAAAAAAAAGGAATAGATTTGCCTCCTGCCACCCTATCTGTAAAACTTCCACCCTCTTTAAAGATGAAGGTGATGGCAAATGAGATACAGAGAAGTGGGTGATTCATTCACTGCTGCTTCTTACTGAAACCCACTGCAGGCCAGCAGCAGTGTCCAGTGCCTGTAAGGTTACTCTTCACGCACACACACGAGGAGTCTAATCACCATCACAGTTTGATGACTTCATTCCTGACTTTGTGCTGGTCTAAAGGACCTGGAGATCATCTGGCTTCACATTAATTCTTGCATCTTTATCCTCAGAGAAGTGGGTTGTTTTCCATAAGGAATTCTCTTTTGAGCTTCCAGGCAATATCCATTGACAGTACCCACCCATAAGTGCAGTGACAATCTCTAACATCTCAGTCAAACATGACTGGCTTTAAATGATCCGTAATATTTATGGACTGCATTCAGAACCAGCTATGACATTGACGTTTTCTAGGCAATATGAAAAAGAGTGGTGAAGATCTCACTAGAAATTTTATTAAAAGCCACTGGACTATCTGAATGGATTTCATGGGAACATGTGGTAGGTACCATGTTTTGTTGTTGAGATGAACTCCAGGCCTTCTGTAAAAGCATTTCAATGTATTACTGCTGTAGCAAGGTCCTTAGCAAAAAAATGCAAATAGAGGCATGTGATAATAATATTCAAAGAGCAGTGCTTGCATTTATATCCTCCAGAAAACAACTGTGTCTTTCTGAAGAGAGAAAAGCTATATAACTATTTGTTGTGATTTAATTTTTTGCTGATTACACCACAGCATCAGCCAAGATCTAGTTAGTAACTGTGGTCCTAATGTGCAAGGTTCAATGTGCAAGCTCCTGTACAAACCCAAAGTCTATAGGCAGTCCACGCCCTACACAGCTTAACATACCTTGCCTGTTAAAACCCACAGTTTTCAGGACTTAAGGTCATTTGGAAGTTTGAGGGCATTTCAGTATGGCAGGAACCCAACATGGTCCCATCCCTGAAATTCTTCACATTGCTAGCAGATGAGTTTTGAACGCTGGCACAGGGACCCATGCTTATTTTTGCCCTTTTCCTCTATATGCTTCAAATTAAACCTTTAAAAGAAAGTCCTGCTTTCCTTCAATGCCCTCCCCCTACCATGTGGCTCTTCACTTGCAATTAAGGCATTACCATTGGGAAAACTAACACGGATTTCAGTGCCCATGGAGGATCAAAATGAACTCCAGTTTCCAGTATCTTGGCTGAATTTTGTAGTTCCTGGACTCTCGGATGAGGGGACAGTGACTCCCTTGACTGTGCTTTGCTGAGCACACCCCTCCACGTGAACATCATCGGCAACAAAGGAAAAGAAGAACCCAAATTGTGAATCCTGACAGTATTTGAATGTGGGACAGTCACTAAATCACAACATTGTCCATAGCAGAAAAACATCTACATTGTTTGTGTCACCCAACACAGCTCTTCTGAACTGAAATTCAAATATTGAAGACTGACACTGATACCAGGTAAGAGAATACCCAGAACATTTGCATTCCTGCACCTGCTCTGCTCTGAATAGGAGCAGCATCAAAATACACACACATCCCCAGCTCTATAAATTTCCTGTTTCCATATGTGACACTCAGAGAGCAGCAGCTGCCAACCTGTGCTAAGCTTTGGTGCAACAACTTCCTTTTCTGGCACAGCACTGCTACCCATCTTGGAGGATGGAAGCTTGTTACTCTGAAGATAAATTTAATGCCACTTCATACGATGCCTTAGCTATGGCCATCATCACGCTTCAGGCATTTTCTGGCATGTGGATAAATGCTTTCATTGTTTTTGTGCTTTGTATTGTCTGCGTCAAAAAGAGAAGCTTTAATTCTAATGAGAAGATCTTGCTGGTTCTGGGATGCTCCAGGTTTTGGTATTTGTGCATCAACTGGGTATATGCCTTTCTTTCAATAATTTATCCCCAGTGCTTTTATGTTCACCCCATACCCCAAGTATTTGTAGCTATTCAAAGTTTTTTAAATGCTTCCAATGTGTGGGTTTCTGCTTGTCTTTGTGTTTTTTATTGTATAAAAATTGCAAATTTCAGACACATCTTCTTCATCTACCTGAAAGTAAAAATTGACAAGATTGTGCCATGGGTGTTATTGGGTACGATGCTTTTATGTCTGGCCATCTGCATCCTTTCTTACGACATCATTGATAAAACGCAGTGTCAATATCTAGATTCCACCGCCCTAGGAAATTTTTGGAAACTGAATGTCAGAACGGATGAACATTTTTTCCCTGTTTTTTTTATCAGCGGCTTCGGAATTACCTCTGCATTCATTACAGTAATCTTTTCTGCCCTTCTCCTCCTCTTTTCTCTCTGGAGACACAAACGCAGGATGCAAACAAACTCAGTGCAGAACTTCAGCATGGATGCCCATATCAAAGCCATGAAATCTATTCTGTCCTTCTTCTTCATTTACACCATTAACTTTATATGTTTGGTCTTGACACTGATTTATGTCACGGAGAAGGAAAATCCCGTGATACTTTTAATTTTAGTACTTCAGGATGTTTTTCCAGTTGTTCATTCCATTATTCTGATTTTCAGCAATCCCAAACTGGAAAAGGCACTCCTAAGGACTTTTCCCTGTGTGAAGTGCAAGGTTTGCATGAGGTAGGAGTTATACTAAAAGCTGGATCCCATTAAAAATGTTGTTATTTTATTATAAAAAACAAGTAATGTTATCTCTAATGCAACTCTCTAGCCAGTGTAGATGATATTATCTTCACCATCTAAGTTACGAAAACTTGATTAGAATTCTTCAAACTAAATTATTATGAGTTAAATAAATTATTATAATTTGATTTAGATAATTATTTGAGTTAAATTATTGTCAGTAACAACTACAAAAGTAACAATTACAAAAGTAATTCAGAACTGGTACATGGGCTAGCAGCAAAAGGGGAATAACAATACTGTGAACCTTCTAAAAATGCTTGGGTATTTGCTGGTCAAAACTACTTAACTAAACAACATGTTTATATCTATTTTGTTTTACATTCATTTCTGCTGTGGGTGTGTACTTGGTAATATTATGAGCCGTATCACTGCCTTGCATTGGTTTATAACTAATGTGTGACTATGTTGATCACTATTACTTACCAGAGGTGGTTACTGACATATAAACAACAATGCAGAAATGGCCTCAGGGTGGATGGCAGGGTGAAGAGCCCACTTCCCACACCAGCCTTACATCTCCCTTCTCTGCCCTACTTCATGCAAAAACATGATTTCCCATGCTCTGTGCCCCTGCTCTCCTGGTCTGCTTTTACTTTTTTATGAGATCTGCTTTTACCAATGGACTCTGACTATAAGCTTCATTCCCAATCCCTCTGCACTGCTCGGGGGATGGATGTAGAAGAGTTGGGAATGAAGGAGTGAAGTTAAGTGTAGGAAGAAAGAGGGGTGGAGGTATGTTGTCTTAGATTTGTCTTGTTTCTCACCATCCTACTCCATTTTCAATTGTCAAAAAATTAAACTGATTTTCTCCAAGTTGAGCCTGTGTTGCCCATGATGGTAACTGGTGAGTGATCTCTCTGTCTTGACACATGAGCTTCTCCATCTTTTTTTCCACCCCTGTCCTGTTGAGGAGTGAGAATGAAGGAATGGCTAGGTGGTGGTCTAGCAGCTGGCCAAGGTCAACCCACCACAGCAGATTATCTAAACGTGAAATAGTTTCAGCATGAACAGAGCAGACTCTGAATTGTTCATTTTTCACCAGCTCAGGCCCAGAGGGATGTCTTACCTCATGCCAAGGGCCAAACGTGCATTTTTCATTCATCTCGGCAAGCTTTGTTTCTGCTTTTGTTTTAAAACACTCACCCAGAAAGAGTACATTTGGCAGGTGTGCAGCCCAAACCTCAGAGGCCTCCTGAAGCTCTGCAGAATTCAGATATATCCAGAATTCTCTCCAGGGAGTCATCTCAGGTGTAGCATCAACCCTGCTGGACATGGATTCACCCTATAAGGAGCTGTTGAACTTTCTCTCTGTTGCATTTTTGAGAACAACCTTTAATGTATTTCTACTAGCAGAAGGCTTCTCAGACCTTTTCCCCAATAAAGGCTATGCAGCCATCTTGTAGGACAACAGTATGAAGGACTCACTAATTTCTATGTACTTTCTATTAGAAACCAACACATAGGAAGAGTTTCTGCTCAGAGAACATGAATGGCCCCTGGAGGCTAATTTGAAAAGTTGAAGTTAAGGTGAAAAAGCTTAGTTTGTAAGAGTTTTATTTTAAGGGTTGCCTTTTCCATGGGCAAAAGAGCACTTCCTTCCCTCTTCTTCTCTAACCCTACAAAAATTAAACGGGAAGAGGATGATAAGGAAGTATAAGAAAGAGTTTTTGAACCACTAGCTTTCATTCTTTTCTGGATTTTCCTGCAGTAGTAAAGCAAAAAAGTTACATTCATGTTGTTCCACTAAAAAGAAAGGGTTTGAGTCATCTGGTCAAAATTAGACACTCAGAGCACATTGCCTTTAGCTGTTTGCCTTTAGCTACAACTCAGGTCAGATACCAAACTTCATTGAGTCTCACTTCCACCATAGGAGACACTCTTTACCACCCACATTTCCCAGTGGAGGGAGATCTTAAACATCTCACCTGGACACATGTCCAGAGCTGAAAGGCCTTTAAAGGACAGGCATCACCACACTTTCCTTCTTTCTCTGCTGTTTCTCAACGCAGTTGACCCTTTAGCATGACACTCCCAATTGCTTTCACAAAAAGACCATGGAAAATTCTTCTTACTCTCTACATCCCGTGCAACATAATCCCTCAAAAACTCATATACCACAGGACTCAAAACCCACATCTTGCAGATGTTCACACACAAAGGAATGCATCCCCAGCAAACCATGCTGAAGATATTTTTTTCCAGCTCCATGAAACCCCTGTCAACATGATGCCCCACACAGCATCACATGCACCAGCCCCATCCAGCTGGCACCGGAGGAGACAGGTTGTGAAACACCACGGCCACAGTGCACAGCCTATATACTAAAGTTCCTCTTTGGACAGATGAAATGGTGTGCCCAGCCCTGGGGAAATTGTTCCTCAAGTACGGGACACTCCACCAGCTGGTCTCATGGCTAGGAACAGGCCTGTTTAGTTTATCCGCATGTCAACAGGCACTCTGTCCTATGTATGTCTGTCCTGGGTTGAGTGAGTGGTGGGGCTTTTTGGTAGAAGGGGAGGGGGCTATAGCGGCGGCCCCTTGTGAGAAGCTTCTCGAAGCTCCCCCAGCTCCAAGTCAGCTCCACTTCTGTTTGGGAAATTGAGCCAATCGGCTGCGCCTCTGCGATAACGTATTTAAGAAGGGACGTGGTGACGAGTCAGTGGAGGAACGGAGGAAGAAAGGAGGGGGGAGGTGTGCCGGAGCAGAGACCCCCCTGCATCCTGTGGTGAGACGGCAGGGCGGCCCCCCCCTGCCACCCATGAAGATCTACGGTGGAGCAGACATTGATTTAAGGCCTGTGTTTTTTTGCCTGGAGGATCAAGGTGCTGTGCCTAAAGAAGGCCGGGGTCTTGTGGGAAAAGGGAGATTTGCTGCTGTAATTCAGCGCTGGGAGGATTGCAGCATGCGGGGGTGACCCACGACAGAACAGTGTGGGGAATGCTGTGGCCTGTGGGAGGGACTCATGTTGGAGAAAGTTTGTGGAGGACTGTCTCCTGTGAGAGGGGGACCACAATGGAGCAGGGAGGGAAAGTTCCAGAAGCTCCCCCCACTGAAGATGGAAAAAACGGCAGCACTGACTGCACCCCCCATTCCCTGCCCCTGCACCACTGCGGGGAGGAGGTAGAGATATCGGGAGCAGAACTGAGCCCGGGAAGAAGGGATGGGTGGGGGGAAGGTGTTCTCAGGATGTGGCAATGTTTCTCACTGTCCTATTCTGTTATGTGGTGTTAGTGTCTGTAATAAATGTATGTTCTTTTTTTTAACTTCCCCTAACAAGTCTGCCTTTTGCTCCTGACCACAAAGGATGATTTTTTTTCCCCATCCCAGTCCTATCTCAAACCCCAAGCCTGGCTCTCTCTCCTTCTTATTGCTGGAAGAGAAGGGAGAGAGAATGGCTGCGTAGTGGTTGGCTGCCAACCAGGCTCAAACCACAACAACGTCTTCACTTGCACTGTCACTAATTCAACAGCCAGGCCAACTGTGGACAGTGTTGATGTTTCATATGGCTTGGAATGTGCAAATGACAAAAAACAAAGCTGGAGCTTGATTCGTTTGCCCAAACATAGGCATCTTGAGTCATCTGAGAAGTCCTAGGGTATCTGAGACATCTGTACAGGGTTGGGAGCTACAGCACGGGATCTTCTGGAGACTTGCAGGGTCAGTCTGTGTTCTTGAGAGCATCTTGAGTGGCATTAGACAGCTCTGTGTAGATGGCTGCATTAGTCCCTGGAAATCTAGAAGAGAAAGATGGATCAGAGAGTTGTTGGTTGTGATTGCCATGCCAGAATGTAGTGGCTGGGTGTGAAGGACACCTGTAACCAAGGCACTCCAGAAGGACCAGGTTTGGGCAGTGAAGGGGAAGCAGAAGGAAAGGGAGGCAGACACAAAAAGGGAGGGGAAGCAGACACGTAAAAGATGTCAGAAGTCAATATGAATGCCTTCCCAGTGCTGGCATGGTATCGAAAACTGCTTTGGGTCAAATTACAATTTTTTATGATTGAGAAGTGAAACAGTTAAAAATGCTTTTGTCATGGGAAGTGTTAATGAGCAGAGGCATAGCTCAGGACCCGTTCCACAGCATTCCTATGAGAATAGACATAAAAGTGGCTGCGGGCACTACTGAAAATAAGGCAGTGCTCTAACTGTCTTGGCAGTCTCAGATGTCTGAAAGTAGTAACAAGGGAGCATGTCTTCTCTTCTACTGGGCCAGGAATGGTAGACCCGGGCTGTTAGACCCATGTATCCAGTAAAAGGTCAACATGAACGTTTCCCTTTCAGCCAGAAGAAGCAACTACACTCCTCTTCCAAAGAAAAGAGAGGCAACACCAGAGGCTACAAGCCCCTGTAGAGCCTCCTGGGTGACTTGAGACCAGAAGCAAACAAGCAAAAGCCACAGACATCAGTAGAGTGAGCAGAACCACAGTTTCAGATACTTTCATGAATCAATTAGGAGCAAAACCGTTTCCATCTCAGACAACATGTAATTTCTGTAAGTTTATACATTTCAGTGACTTAGAGTACTAGTCTATTTAAACATCTTCAGCAGTTTTCTGATATTTGAGATCTGATACATATAGACATACAGACCGATAGAAGCACTTCTACCTGTTCCCTATTAATGACAGTATTTACAGTACATCACACAGGTGCGTTCTTGTGGCCACCTGCTTCTCCTGTTCATCCATATTTCACCCTGCAGATGCGTCTAAGGTCTGCCAGTGTCTTTGTTCTGCATTAGGAGTTGTCAGTCGAACAAAATAGGCAGGGCACACTACTGCTTCCCCCTTTTTTTCCATTTTTGCTTTGGAGTGGAGGATGTGTCGTTCTGCCAAGAACATGGTGGGTTTCTCTCAAGTTCTTCTTTCTTGAGTTCCCAGTCTTCATCTCTCTGGTCTAAGGGGATTCCTTTCATTGCAGCTGTCTTGCGGTAGTTTCTGCTCTCCACCTCTGCTCTGGGGAAGAAAGCAAGAGTGCATCTTCAGACACTGAGCACAGCGCAGTCACACCACGAGCGGTCCATCTACAGGAGCAGGGGATCGCGTGTTCGTATGGTCAAAACACTGTTGCCAGCAAGACATGAGAAAACACCGAGGTTCATCCCAAATCCAACAACATTCATCACCCCAGGTGACGAGGTACTCACTGACAGTTGGGCTGAAGTGGGAAGCCTTCAGTAAGGATCTACACTGAGATTGGACTTTTACCATTGGGATCATAATTTTAACCACAAAAAGCTCTCAAAGACTGATCTTGTGAATTTGTATGCTGTTAAATAGATTTAAGCATATTTAATGCAACTGTACATGGTATATTAACTCACTGCAAATTCATTTCCATTTTCTTTTATTTTTTGTACTGTTCACTCATAAGTACTAGAAATTCTTAATGTCAAATTGTCAGATCTGAAGATGACTGGAGTATGGGAGGATTTGTACATTGTTACTCTTTATAGACGACCATTTAACCCCAGAAATTATCTAATCCAAATCTAATTCAGACCTGAAATTTTGCTAAATTTTGCATTCAAATCCAGACCTAAACTTGGCAATTCATCTCCATTTCCATTTTTTAAATAATAACTTCAATTAAACAAAGTCATAGAAATAAGGCTGTGCTTCAGAGGTTCAAATTTTGCAGGGGAAAGAATTATGTAAAAGATACCATTTTCCTCAGCCCAGTATCTCCATATACAAATTGTTCAGATCTCTCCACTGGTTGATGGAGCTTTAGCTGTGTTTTTCAAGCTGTCTCTGATTTCAAGTGTGTGAAACCTGTTGGATGTCAGATACGGAACCATCATCCATCCAGACCATGGGATTTCTAAGTCAGCAGTGAGTTTGCTCTTGGCATTTGTGATTTACCAAAGTCACAGTTTTTTGGGGTGACATTCATATATTTTCTGTTAAACAAGCACAGTCCCACATCTTCAGTGAAGGACACTCTACAAGCGAACATGAAAATAAACATACTTCACTGTAGTTTTCTTTACAGCCTTAGAATATCAATGGTTTTTCATTACACTTCCCATTGCAAACAACCAAAGAAATGTAAAAAACACTTTTATCAAGACCAAAATGCTCCTTTGAGCAGTAGAATATTTTTTAATCATCTCAGTTATGATCCTATTAATCCCAGCTCTTAAATATTTTTTCCTATTAAGTGTTGTTAACTTTCTCTTTATAATCTTTACATATGCCTGGCACTGACACAGTCAATTATTTTGGAAAAAAGTGACCCCAAACTAAAAATTAGATAGCTACTTTCTGTATTTTGTAGACACTGAGGGATTTTAAAAGAACAAGTACATCTATCCTTCACATCCAAGTCACACAACACAGAATCATGGAATGGTTTGGGTTGGAAGGGACCTTTGAAGATCATCTAGTCCAATCCCAAAGTTTCAAGTCACTGCAAGTTTCTTTCAGCTCTCTTTCAGAAAATAGCAAAAACAAAAAATCAGGCCTTATTTTCTTTCTCACATCAGCAGTCAGCAGCAGAAAGTACTGAAAAAACAGGAGCCACTGTGGTGGGTTGGCCTTGGCCATCTATCACATGCCCACCCGGCTGCTCTCTCACTGCCTCTCCTCAAAGAACAGGGGGAGAAAGACAGGAAAGCTTTTGGGTCAAAATAGAGACATGGAGATCACTTACCAATTACCGTCGTGGGCAAAACAGACTTGGGAAAAACCAATTTAATTTATTGCTGATTGAATATAGAGTAGGATGATGAGAAAAAAAGGCAAAACTAAACCATCTCTCCCCCACCCCCCTCTTCCTCACAGGCTCCACTTCACTCCTTCATTCCCAACTCCCCTACGTCTGCCCCCAGAGCGGTGCAGGGGATGGGGAATGGGAGCTGCGGTCAGTCCGTAACAATTCATCTCTGCCACTCCTTCCTCCTCACGCTTTTCCCCTGCTCCAGCGTGGGTCCCTCCCTTGGGCTGCAGTCCCTCAGGGTGAGCCAGCTGCAGCATAGGCTCTCCACGGGCTGCAGATCCTTCAGGACACATCCACCTGCTGCAGCACAGGGTCCTCCGTGGGCTGCAGTGTGGATTTCTGCTCCACCATGGTCCTCACCGGGGAATCCCTGCTCCCTCTCCTTCCCCTCTGACCCTGGTGTTGCAGGGCTGTTTCTCACACTTCTTCCCTCATGGCTGGGCAGCACTTTTACCCTTTCTTAAACATGTTTTCCCAGAGGAGCCACCAGTGTTGCTGATGGGCAGAGCTGTGCCCTGTGGCATGCCCAGTGTGGTGCAGCCTCCATCTCTTTTCACAAAGACCCCCCCCAGCACTCCCCCAGTGCCGGCACCCAGGCACAGACACCCCAGCTGTACCTCTTGCCTAAGAGAAGAGAAACCCTTTTATCCTGCTACAGAGGTCTGATTTTGTAAGCACACAGTATTTACATAGCTCTGTCAAAAATACCACAAATTATTGGGAAAAATCCTTTTTTTTTTTTTTTTTCTGTAATACAGCAGCACTGTCACATCAGTGCAATGCTGTCCTGGCTGACAGCATGGAGCAAAGCCAGCGGCTTCACACATGTGCTGCATAATGTGGGCTTACTATATATATATATGTATTTACACATACACACACACAAACATATGTATGTGGGGGTATGTGCCTGTATATGTGTATGTGTGTGTATACATATGTGTGTATCTATATGTCCTGGGCTTAGATAGCAGGAGCCTTTGGTGTAGTTTCAACACTCAGCACTTTGCAGGTGGGCTGGCACTGGCCATGGGTCTCTGTGCCATTTTGACAGCTCTCACAGCGCCCAGGGTAAAGCCCTTCTGGTGCAAAAAAAAAAAAAAAAAAAAAATCTGATACAAATGATACGTGCGTTATTCAGAAGCAGCTGTGTTTTGAAGGCTGTTTCCTATTCTTTGCATGTCCATGCAAACCTCAGCGAGTCATACGGATACTCTGTAGCAGAACATTCCTAATATTTACATGTTAATAATATTTACATGTCGATACACGTAATATTTCCATGTTGATGCAAACAATGGCCAGCACAGAGCAGTGGCTCAGCCCAGGTAGGCAGGGCTATGATCACGCATCCAGCACCACCTGGGGTCAGACACAGGGCGTGCAAGGATTGTGGTGGTGTTAGAGGGCTGAATTGGGATTTAGGATGGATTTGGATGCTCATAGCCCTGTTTAGATAGGCATGTCAGCCCTGCATTTGGCATAGGCTATTATTTTTGAAATTGCCTTTTCTCTCTTTTTGCATGGCAGGCAAATATCCAGAACTGATGGTGAAGCTCTGTAACAAAATATCCCTCATATTTACATACCAACACCACTGTGAGCAGAGGGCAGACCTACTCTGTGCTGCACAGCACTAGGGTGCAGACACACACTTCATTTTCTGTCTGCAGCACAGGGCAGCACTGCCCAGCTCCCGTTGGAGCCACGAAGCACTGCCTGACCGTGGACATCACCTCTGGGACCTTCTGCACACCCGAAGGGGAAGAAGGCATTTGTGGTTATACTACAAATGCCAGTAATTCCTCCTAGTTAATGCCAAGTTTGCCAATGTGAGGAGGTGAAGCTGTTGCATGAGGGTGAAGGCATCCACTGTGGTTGTAAATTATAGCAGCTGGGCTTAAAAAAAAAGGGTTCCTGAGACCCAGTGATAAACTCTTGGCTGCCCACAGGCTGCATTATGGCTGTGAGGTGAGCATACATACAGGCTTGACGCATCTTATAAAATGTCCTAGGCATGGGCACTCAGAGCATCTTCCCAGTTATTAAGTTCTCCCTGCCATGCTCCTAGCTGAGCCAAGCAGTTGCGGGGCCAGCACGTGGCTCTGAAAGACAGCTTTTCCACCTTAAATTAGTCATTCACCTCAGAAAACCCTCCGTCAGCTGTAGGCTGTTGCCTGGGTGGCTCAGAGCAGGCTGTCAGTTATCCTGTCGATCATTCTCCCAGCTGCCTCCACCCTGCCTGCCGTGGGCATCGCCCACCAGTTCCCCCACCCTTGCTGTCACCTCACCCCACGGCCCTGCCCCACGGGCATAGCCAAGTGCAGGGCAAGTGCTGCAGACTCGTCGGGACTCTACAAGCAGGATTTAATGGCGAGAACGGTGCAAAAAAGACAGCAATGAGCAGGTAAGCAACTGCTATAAATGATTAGTCCAGGGGAAATGGGACTGCAGACCTTCCACTCCCCAGGGAAGACAATATTTACCTCTTCTGATATAGAAACTAAGCAAGACAAGACCTGAGAACAGTATAAAGAGAAAACCCCTCTCTGGAAAAAAATGCCCCATTCTCAAAGAACAGGAAAACCTGAGCTTCTCCAATCTAGGGTCTAGGCAGTAAAAAAACCTAATTAGCAAAGCCTAGGTATCAGCTGCTAGTTTTTTAAATTTCTTTAAACTGAAGATCTAAGGGCAATAAGAGCTGATTCTCATCTGTGAAAGGAAGGCAGTGAACAGTAAGGGTCTGCAGCATGTTGAATCCATAAGCAGTGAGGCTTTAGCTGTAAGGTTTCCTGGATGTGAAAGGTCCCATCAGCTTCCATAATAGCCAAAGCTTAGAAACAAGAAACTGTGGGTCCCCTAGAAAGATTTTTTTGGCACTGTACAGGGGAAGTTTGCACAGTTTGTGCATCTCTTCCTAAGGACACTGATGCTGTGTCAAGGTTAAAGGTGGTCATGGAGCATTTCGTCAGGAACCAACAAGCTGTAGAAGCACAGCTAAAGGACAGCAGTACCTACAGAAAGGTTTATGTGGACCAGTGAAAGTTGGCATTTGGTAGGCACTGGCCACCTCAGACATTTGCCCAGCCACCATCCCTGATTTTGAACTTGGCAGCTCTTGTGCTGAATTGGCAAGCTGGAGACTTAAGAGTTGGATATGTGTCTATAAAAAAAAAATAAATCCATGATTTATATGGTGCCAAAACAGTCTTGAGAATGGGGAAGTGGTAAAAAAGATGCCAGTTAAGGACTATGGTGGAACTGTAAATTCACAGAAAAACCCAGGGGAGGAAAAGCCTTTGGGTATTTTCAGCATCACAGGGTCCAGCACGTGCAGGTTTCACAAGCAATGTATTTAAATACCAGGTAACACATGGGACTATAATTTGCACTGAACAAGCTGGTTAGCCTCTGGTGATCTGTCCCACTGCTTTAGAAAGATGCAGGTATGGGACACAGCTCAGACCTCTGGAGGACAGCATCCTGATCCAAGGAATCAACTTTGCAAGGATGAAAATATCCACGAGCCAAATCAGTGGCTGAAAAATGGGAAAAGTGACTGGGAACCTTTGGTGCCACAGCGTTAACCGTAAAAAGTTAAGACGGTGAGGAGTTTTCTAAAATTTGGAAGAATTATGTGGCCGTCCTATTAACAGATCAGATGATATAATTTTCAATAATGATGTAAAAAAAAAAAAAAGATGGCTCTGTTCTTTATTACAAGAAAAACCAATTAATATATATACATTAACATCAACTGCTAAAGGGCTGTCCTTAAATAAATCAGCCTGTGTATTGAGTATTCACCACTCTAAGGGGTTAATACTTGTTAGCTCTTGCTTTCATTTCCATTGCTTAATAATCGCTCTGTAATATCTCCATCAAAACAATGATGTCATGAAGCGGTAACGATTTTGTAAACATATAAAGGCAAACCACAGAAGGCAGTGGAATAAATGAATGTCTTCCCACCGGCTTGCCGGTGATTAAGACCCCTTTATGTTTATCTACTACTTGTGCTCGATGGCTTTAATAGCCTTTAGGTGGAAAGATAAATAACACGCTCATATTTGTTCTGGTCCTCTGTATAGCAGTCAATTTAATTTTCACTGATAGAACCCCGCCAGCTGCCACAGTCATCACTACTCACATTTCTAAGAACCTGAAGCAGTCTTGGTGGCCGTAGATTTCCGCAAGCCTCTTGGGAGTGTCGCCGAAGCGGTCGGCCGCGTCCATGGCAGCGTGCAGGGAATGGAGGGTGCGGAGCACCCCCAGCCTCCCCGACTCGGCAGCAAAGTGAGCCGGGGTCCAGCCCACGTCGCTCCGCAGGCAATGCCGGGCGCCGTGATTCACGAGGAGCTTGACCAGCTCCGATTGCCCTTGCGTTGGGCAGCCGAACGGGGAGAGGAGACACACCTGCATTAGACTTGATACCTTCAGGGTGCAGAATATGTTCACGCACAGCTGATCGTAATCCCCTCAGTCATGTAACGAAGGATTTTACCCACAGCTGGGCCATGAGATTTATCAAATAAATGACCCTCATTAGAAAATGCTGGGTTTTTTAGTTTGTTGGTTTTTTTTTTTCTTCCTTCCTTCCTTCCTTCCTTCCTTCCTTCCTTCCTTCCTTCCTTCCTTCCTTCCTTCCTTCCTTCCTTCCTTCCTTCCTTCCTTCCTTCCTTCCTTCCTTCCTGCCTTCCTGCCTTCCTGCCTTCCTGCCTTCCTGCCTTCCTGCCTGCCTTCCTGCCTGCCTTCCTGCCTGCCTTCCTGCCTTCCTGCCTGCCTTCCTGCCTGCCTTCCTTCCTGCCTGCCTTCCTGCCTTCCTGCCTGCCTTCCTGCCTGCCTTCCTGCCTGCCTTCCTGCCTTCCTGCCTTCCTGCCTGCCTTCCTGCCTTCCTTCCTGCCTTCCTTCCTGCCTTCCTGCCTTCCTTCCTGCCTTCCTTCCTGCCTTCCTTCCTGCCTTCCTGATTTCCTCCCTCCCTTCCTCCCTCCCTTCCTCCCTTCCTCTTTCCCAAATGGGTCTACTTCCAGAAGCATTTAACAACAACGACAAGAATAAAATCAACAAGCTTTCTACTAATTTCTGAACAGCACAACTCAATTAGCTATTGACTATTTTGTCATTTTATTTTGGTTTTTAGTTCAATGCAAAATAAAATTTAACCATTAAAAAGCTGGAAAACCTGTGAACAGCTTTACTAAAGCAAAGGTTTGTTTGATAGGAAATAGAGAAATTACTTGTCTTTATTCACCTTCATATTTTTCTAACTTTTGGATTTGCTTAAAGAAGAAGGAAAAATTATTTCTACCCCACTTCACACTGCATTGACTGAGCTAGATCATTCCCAATGGCACCTAGGCCATGCCAGTCTCTCATCATCATTTTCTTAAATAGCTCAGTTCCCTTTGCTGCTGCCCAAAGGAGTAATAATCCATCGTGGCAAAAGTAAAATATGGTGTCAAGTGTTAACCAGCAAAACTCCCACTTGATTTCTGAGCAAAGACAGATGCCATGATGTGAGATCCCAACGTGTAACAAACACTCTAGCACAGAGGAGTACAGGTCCAGTTTCCCATTTTATACTGTGTGCAATTATATGTTATATATTATTGCATTCATCTCTTTTCTAGGCTGCAAAGGGATATTTGAATTTAACAGCCACTTCTGATGGTGAAGGACCAAATGGGAGCTGCAAACAACTCTGGTCCTGTGTTGCTCATTCAACCAGGTGGGATAAAGGGAGGGCAATGTAAACCACACTGTAATTATTTTGTTCTGCTGGGTTTGATAAATACCTGGTGTTTGACATAGTGTGTTTGACTTCTTGCTCATTTGTGCAAGTGTACACGAGAAATAACTCCTCTACACTGTATGAAGTAATCTTTTAGAAAAGTAATGTGGGGGACAAGCAGTCATGGTATATGTACATATCATATAAATTGTAAATTTTCATGAGATGGAAAAAAAAAGATAAAAAATCTCTTTGATGGCAATACCATAAATTATTTTGGAGTCAAAATTCCCATTTAAATTTGTATTTTTCTTTTTTGCTCACTAAGGACAAAATGATCAGATAGCAGCTGTGACTATCACCAGCATTAACTGCCATCATAGCAAGATGTATTTACAATCAACATCACCTTTTATGACACAGATCGCAGAGGTAACAGAACAGGGGGTGCCTTTACCTTTTGCAGCAGCCCAGTGCAGAGGGGTCCTGTCATGCCAGTCGACATCCTTGTGATTTGGGTCGCAGCGTCCTGTCTTCAAAATCTCACGTACCAAGTCATAGTCCCCCAAAGCCACAGCTTCGTGGAGCTCTGTCATGCTGCACACTTCAGAAAGGTGCCTGGTAAAAGAGCAATGGTCATTTAGTGGGTGTTCACTGATGTATCAGCTCCTCTCAAGAGCAATTCTAAAAGATCAAGCAGTATCTTGATTAAAAATGACACATGCACTGTGAGAAACCAGGATTTATCCAAAAGTAGTGAAAAAGGAGTGACAGGGAAAAAAAAAAATTATAACTTATCTCCAAACCAGTGATCACAGACCGATGGTGACATTTGGTTTGCAGTCATGGAAATCTGGAGCAAAGTGCAGCCCTTTATACCATGGACTCATAGATAAAACCACATTACATTTCTCAAGGCTGTTGCTAACAAACAGCCAGCTCAGTCCAAACATTTGCCACGGGTGTGTTGGTATTACTTACCATGGAAACTGGCTCCTCCTTTGCCAGTGCTGCAGATCCATTATCAGTAGCATTTTACTGTAATGGAAGAAATGTCTGTGTAAGTATCTTCTGATGTTCTTTGGTGTAAATAATCGAGCTATGGCATTGTTGTGGTTTAACCCCAGCCAGCAATTAAGCACCACGCAGCCACCTGCTTGCTCCCCACCCCCGCAGTGGGATGGGTGAGAGAATGAGAAAAAAAAATTATAAAGCTTGTGGGTTGGGATAAAGACAGTTTAATAGGATATAAAAGGAAGGGGAAATAATGATAATAATAATAGAATATACAAAACAAGTGATTCACAATACAATTGCCCATCACCTCTAACTGATGCCCAGCCAATCCCCGAGCTGCTGCGTCCCCCAGCTAACTCCCCCCAGTTTACAAACTGGCCATGATGTCATATGCTATGGAATACCCCTTTGGCTCATTTGGGTCAGCTGTCCCTGCTGTGTCCCCTCCCAGCTTCTTGTGCCCCCCATCCTCTGCTGGCAGGGCAGCAGAAGAAGCTGAAAAGTCCTTGATTTAGTGTAAACATGGCTGAGCAACATCAGCGTACTAGCAACATTGTTCTCATCCTAAATCTAACACACAGCACTCTAACAGCTACTAGGAGGAAAATAAACTTTTTTCCATCTGAAACCAGGTCAGGGATGTTGCTTGATGGGTTTACCTCTGTGCTGGCAGTTACTCTGCTTCCATTGCTGCAATCACCCCCACAGGGCATCTCCCACCATCCATGAGTCAGTATGGAGATAAAGTGTTGGCCACCTTTCTTGTTCAGCAATGTCTGAAGCCAGTTGGGTGGCTTTCACCTCTGCAGACTGGCTCAATTCACCTTCTCCTTCAGCAGTTTCTGTAACTAGTCATAGGGGACTCCATACAGCTGCCTTCCACCTCCAACGTTTCCCCACAACATGACAGGACCAGTCAGGGAAAAGGGCATATTGCTTCTCATTTTCTGGTAGTTTATTGTACAGTGGGGCCTCTTCAGCATGCATCACCTTCTCCTCTGGTGATATTCTGAAATCTTTGCCTTCCGGCCAGTCCGTGATCACTTCTAAAGTTGCTGGGTGACTGAGGTTTCCTATTCAAGTCTGTTGTGTGACCTGTCCGACCCGCTTACTCCGCGTAGCATCAGTTCGTGATGTGTAGAGGAGACCCTCCCTTTGAACACCCAGCCCAGCACCGGCAGCCGGGGTGCCAGGAGGAGCTGTGCTTCAGTAGCAACCACTTCCAAGACAGTTTGAACCCCTTCACATCCTGCCAATATCTCTTTTCCAGTTGGGGTATAGCAGGTCATGGATCCTCTGTATCCCTGGCTCCAAAACCCCAGGGGTCGACCCTGGGTCTCCCCTGGTGCTCTCTGCCAGAGGCTCTGGGCAGGGCCATTCCCTGCGGCTGCAGTGTAGAGCAGATTTTTAACATCTTGTCCCGTCTGGACTGGCCCAAGGGCTACTGCATGAACTATCTCTTGTTTAATTTGTTTAAAGGCTTGTCGTTGCTCAGGGCCCCATGTAAAATCTTCATCCCTTACTAAGAAAACTGACTTTTTTGTGTATTTCTTCTTCTGTACAGGGGCAGCTAACACCGGCATGGGTTGGTTCTCTGGTTTAGCTGCAGTGCTTGTCGTGGGGGCTAGAGTAGACACCGTGCCCATGGCTCTGTTTTCCCTCCCTCCCCCCTGAGGATGCTGCATAATATCGAGCAGTGTTTGGTAGACACAGGCCAGCACCCAGCACAGTGTGGTTTGTTGTGCCTCTTCAGAAAAGCCACAGCATTTTTTTTTTTTTCAAATATCCTATCACTTTACCAGGGTCCTGTAGTTGTTCAGGAGTGAAGTTCCAAACCACTGGAGGTGAGAAGTTCTCTAGATATCTGCCCATATTCTCCCACAGGCCATGCCACCCATGATTATCCAGCCTCAGGGCAGATCTCTTTGTGGTACTCTTAAACAGTTGTTTAACCCTAAACAAGACCTGAACCACATTCAGGAACATGCTAGTTCCTAGCAATAGAACCATGCCGGTTTCAACATCCCAAGGATATTCAAAATTCTCAAGAGCTATTGTAACTAGCCAGGAGGAGAAGGGGAAGGTGGGGGAAGGTGGAGGAAGGTGTGTCTCCCATAGATTGCCTGTCCAAGGAGAAAAGGTAAAGAGTGCAATTAGTAAGTTTCCAATAGATGGCTCCTGAAGTATGGAAGTGATGTCAATGCTGAGTACAAATACTGGATTAGTCTCACGACCAATAATTTTATCATCCTATAAACCAGTGTTACATAGTATATCAAAGGGAAAACCTTAATCCACCTCCCACGGATGATATGCTGTAGCACAGGGACTATATATGGCAAGTAAGGTGATACATAACACAGCTCTAACAATGAACACCATAAATCTAAGAGCCAATAAATCAACATTGTGACCAGAGACTATTAAACTAATATAATGAATGCTTATAAAAAATTAATTTTAACACGCTCTGGTCAGATCTGTCATTATCTCAACCCTTCAGGGCCCACATTGGGCCCCAAAAAGGACTTTCATGGTTTAACCCCAGCTGGCAATTAATCATCACTCAGCCACTCGCTCAGTGCCCCTCCTCGCAGTGGGATGGGGGAAAGAATGTGAAAAAAATATATAAAGTTTGTGGGTTGAGATAAAGACAGTTTAATAGGATATAAAAGGAAGGGGAAATAATAATAGAATATACAAAACAAGTGATTCACAATACAATTGCCCACCACCTCTAACTGATGCCCAGCCAATCCCCGAGCTGCCGCGTCCCCCAGCTAACTCCCCCCAGTTTACAAACTGGCCATGATGTCATATGCTATGGAATACCCCTTTGGCTCATTTGGGTCAGCTGTCCCTGCTGTGTCCCCTCCCAGCTTCTTGTACCCCCCATCCTCTGCTGGCAGGGCAGCAGAAGAAGCTGAAAAGTCCTTGATTTAGTGTAAACACGGCTGAGCAACATCAGCGTGCTATCAGCATTGTTCTCATCCTAAATCTGAAACACAGCACTCTAACAGCTACTAGGAAGAAAATAAACTTTTTTTCCATCTGAAACCAGTTTAGGCATGTTGCTTAAAAATCTTGTCTCCATAACTGTGCTTTGGCCCCTCAAGGCTGTGGATTTCAAATTATACCTGTGCTAGGGGATATTTCCCAGCTCCTTTGCTGACAGGGAATTTAAGAAGCTTGCAAGGATCACTGTGCTACCCCATCATCCTGAGGATGGAAATACTGCAGTATTTTGTCCAGTCTGGCCAAATCAGAGGAGAGAAAACTTTTCTATTCCAGTATCTAAAGCTGGTCTTGGACTAGTTAGTCCAGTCCCCTTCATAAGCCAGAAGATTTTTAGGATTTGCTGCAGCTTTTGCTTTACATTTAATTCATGGAGTCATTTTCTCAGATTGAAAAGAGTGTGATTTCTATGTTCATCATGTTGGAAAGGATCAACATTGGAGCCTGCAGAGGCTGATGTGATGGAAGTTTTGCAATCCTAGGGGCTACATCCTGGGAGCCAGCGGTGGATGGGGCCATTTCCCTGCCCCCAACTCCCATAAACATCACAACCACATCCCAAATACCGGCTGGAAGGACACACCACCACCTTTACTTTGCTTTCTTGTAAGAAAATGATGAGATACAAAGGTTGGAGGGAATCACAGCCTGCTTCAGTAAGTCCCCTGACTTAGGTGGTTAGACTGTGTAGACAGATCCAAGTGAAAGAACTTTACTGGGTTTGACTACTGCACAGCTGGGAATATCTGAATATATTAAAAAGTATAATAAATTTTGGCGCTCCTCAGTGGGCCACAAAAGTATCATTGGCTTTGGCATGTCTCTCTTACTTTAAGCAGTCATGCGCCGCCTCCTCTTCCTCATTGCCTCTCACTAACCTTGAAGAACCTGTTCCTTTAGATTAAATAGAGGTGTCCTCCAAGACCTTTCATCAGCATTAAATCTATCCTGAAAATGTTACACTTTAATGCATCCAGCTCATCACTGAAATGAGTGCTGGACAAAAGTACAGGAAAAAAAAATCTTGTCTCTTTTCCTACCAATTTTTTCTTATTTTCCAAGGAAATTCCAATAAAATTCAAAGTTTAAAAATATAACATAAATTTCAAGCACATTTGTGCTCTGCTACCTTCAGATCATACCCAGACACATATATGCAAAAAAGAGGGGAAGAGAATCCAGTGATCCCACCCCAGGAGCTCACCAGCTCTCCAAGCAGACAGTGCACGGGTGCAGCTTCATAAGAAATTTAGGCCAAGAAAAATTTTATCTTCCCTCCCTCCCCTGCTGCCTCCCTTTGCTAGCCTTGAAGCTCATATGACTGTTTCATCAGCTGGATCAACCTGTTGATCTCTCAGAAAACTAATATTTTATTGTTGGTACTGGTTTTAGGGTTATTTCCCTAAACTCAGCGTTATCAAGGGGGCAAATGCTGAGGTTGTGCAGAGGGGGAGTGGACACAGATCCGCCCTGCCAGTAGGGACCTGTGCTTGATCAACCTTAAACCGCTCCAGAAGTTGCACCCAGAATTGCTATTGGCTTCCTTAGGGTGTTGTTATCCCCTTCTATAATGCCATAAGGAAAAAAAAGACTTGCATTTTTATGGAGGGACCTTGTGCCAAATCACAGTGACCCTCCGCTGCAGGTCTCCCCTCTTCTCCCAGCCGTAAGTGTCGCGGCTCCTCCGCGGGATGCGGCAACCCAGCCAGGGAGATTTTCTCATGGGGATCCCAGTGCTTGATCCAGCCCTACACCACCACACTCAGCAGCGCCGTGAGGAAAGCCAGAAATTCACAGACACACGCAAACAAGCCCATATCTAAACCCGTCCCTGCCCTGCAACGCCACAGCCTGTCATCGCGGCAGCCGCGGGTGTGGGGTGACTTTTGGGATGGCTCCATGCCAGAAACTTGTTTTCCAGGCCCGGGGAAGATCTCTCCCCAAAAGATCGTCTCATCTGAAAACTAAGGCAAAGTTTGGTCCCTCCCCTTCGGGGAGAGCCTGGCAGTCGGTCTGCCCACGAGAGAGACGTCCTCCCGCGGGAGCAGCCGCCTCTCGCCTGGCTCCGGAGGGCTGCGGGCAGCCGAAGGGTCCATCCTGCTCCTCCGGCCAACGGGACGGGAACCGAGTTCGGCCAGGACACCGCACACCAGGTACGTGGAGTGCTGAAGGGGGGAAAAGGGGTCTGGGGAGAGCACGGGGAGGAGCGATGGTAGCGTGAGGAGGATTTTAAGGAGCTGGGTAGTTTCTGCTCAGCCCCTCACGCAGCTTGCCAGCGCTCCCGCGCCCTGGCTTCAGCCTGCCTTTCCCAAAGCCCGTCCCCAATCCTCCAGGGCTGCTGCTCCTCCATTTCCTCCCTTCCAGCCCCTTATCCGGCCCCAAATCCCTGCGTGTCTTTGTGGAGGAGGGGGGAGGAGGGATTTGCTCTGGGTAAATTGCAAGGGGGAATACAATGGACATGCCCCTTCCCCACTGCGCGTACAGCCAGTGTTCAGGGAAAAGGTGAATCAAGTTTTCCCATGGGGAAAAATAACCCACCTCCTGACACGGACGTGTCCAGTGTGGGGATGGGAAGCAGCAGAGGAAACTCGGACTAGATGAAAGGGGAAAAAAAAAAAAAAAATAAAATCACAGCGAGCGTGATTAAACTCCGCTTCAGGCAGCCAGCATTGAGACATGTAAAACTGAGGCAGCTCTGTGCACGCCCTGCTTTGAGCAGGGGTTTGGACTATGTGACCTCCAGCAGTCCTTCGCAGACAAATTCTTGCGGGAGGCTAACAGGGACACAGGTTTTGGGTGCTCTGCCAGCATGGCATTCATCTCCCCCAAACCCAGTGTCAGCAAGGTGGGTGCCTGCACGGGACCCTGCGCCCTGGCTGCTGTCAGGGCTGGCGGGGAGAGGGACGGTGGTTTTAGGATGTGGTTCCTGCCTGCTGTGTTTGAAGCCCAGGGAGCTCAGACCTAGGTGCCAAGGCGGTAGACTGTAACGTTAGTCAGGCGATCCCGCCGGCTAGAGCTGGCTCTACTTTACCCCGTGACACAACCATCTGAGCCTCTCCAGGTGGTGGCTCCTGGGGGGCAGGAACCGAGGGTGGCAATGCCATCCGGCCTGGCACCTATCAACCCCACCGACATGATTTACAGCAGCCGAGAAGCCGTTGTGACTTACTGCTGGGGACGCACGGATCCTCTAACATGCAGCTCTGGGAGAAAACTGGAAACGCTCAAATCTCCGTCTCTGGCTGTTGTTAGTGGTTGGCCTCCCCTTTTTCTCTGCCTGCTGGAAGTGAAATGCTTTCTCCCTTTGAAATCAGCTAGTATTAGTGGTGGTTGGACCTTTCTGCAGTAGAGTCACGCTCGCAGAGAAGCGAGGGAGGACGTTCCCACTGGGGGAGGTACACTTGGGTTTGGCCCTTGGATCCATAATCTCCATGGTTTATGGGAAGACTGAACTCATATACCTTCTCCTGATGACTCCAAAGCTGCTGCCTGCTGCGTCCACCCAACATGCCCATGTCCTGACCATTGAGCAGGCAGGTTTTCCACCACCCAGGTCCCGCTCCAGGCCCAAACCAGCAAGCAAAGGGTGAGAAGAGTTGCTTCAATGCCTGAAGCGGGGCATTTGAGAGCAGGAACCAGATCTGGGGCTCTCAGTTAAATGCTGTCATAACACTTAAGGGTACTTTCTTCCCCGAAATTCAGTGAATGTTGAAATGTTTTGGTATATGGTGTAGGAACTAAGGCCCCAGTGAGGAGAACCGGCTCTGTTGTTCAATCTCCAGTGCCAAATCAGCCAGGGAATCTATATAAAACAGAGTACTCTGAGCTTAAGAAGGGGACAGCGATACCTCCATCTGCTGGGGAATATCTCGCTGGGGAGAGCCACCGAGATGAGCACATGGAAGTGCCCCGAGATGTGGCTATGAGACCCTGGCTGCTGTGGTTTAATATTGAGACAAGGACAGGGAGGGATGCAGGATACAGGAGCATCACCCAAAAGGCTGGGAATTGCCCAGCTCCACCACGGCTTCTCTCAGACTCTGTACCCCATCTTGGCAAGGGGGATGTACATCCTCCCCCAGCCCAGAGTGCTGTCTGTGCTCGCTGTGATGTGCTATCACTGAATTACTGAGGTCAGCATCACCTCCACATTAAGCCACGCCAAGATGTCAGAAGCAGCCTTTAAAAACTGCAGCATTCTTGTTTACTGGAAAAAAAGTGGTTCAGATCAGTGGAAAAGTACACATTTGCATTTCAGTGACAGCCTCAGCCATTTACACCCTGCAACACAAAAGGTCTCAGTGTGAAGGACTCTTTTCCTCAGCTCCCCCACATTCCCCAAGCTCAGCTACCCCACTTTGGCAGCCTTCAAATAAAGGAGAAGCCAAGGCCAGGGGAAAAGGAGAGGAAAAAAAACAAGGAAAAAATCCAACAACATAAGCGCTGGTAAAACCTCCCTGATCGCTACCCACTATCCAAGTGAGAGCTCCCACACAGGAACTGCTCACCATTTGCTCCAAGAGCTCTTGCACTGCCTAGAGCCCCCCCGGCCCCTTCCTCCTTTGCTGGAGAAGCTGGATCCCCTCCAGCCCCCACCTGCTGGGATGGACGCTCGTGCAGGTGGCAGAGATCAGGTTTTGTCAGGCACAGGGAGAGCTCACCCCAACGCCAGCACCACCATCCTCTGTCCTCCTCCATCAGTAACTTTCCACAAGCTTCCTGGAGATGCTGAGCAGCCTGAAGAACATCAAACTCAATTCAGGAGGTGCTGGGAAGAAGCACAGTGACACCCACGACCCCATCCTGCCCCCCTCATATGCATAAGCTCTCCCCCTGCAAGCCCCTGGAGTGCAGGAGGGGAGAACTTGCAGGCAGGATCTGACCCAAAAAAGCATAATGCCGGCTCACCTCCTTGTGCCAGCTCATGCAGATCCATGGAAACCAGTGATTTATACTGACGTTGGAGATTTAATCCAGCCTTGGGATTTAAAAAAAGCTTCCGTGTTTATCTAAGTGCCAGGAAAGGCTGTCGGAGCTGCTTCCTGCATCCCTGCAATCCCCGGCTCCGGAGCCGCTGCGGGAACCGCCCGGTCGCTGCCACAGCACGTCAGCTCTGGCAAACAAACTCAAACCCACAAACTAAAGGCAAAAACACCATTAAACACGAGGAAGCCATCATCTGCCTGATTGCATACACGAGCAAGAACGTGGGTGTGCTGCTGTCAGATATAACTTCCATTTTCAGATCGAGATGACGCTCTGTTTATCGCACTTGAAGTGGACCCAGCTCTCCTCCAAGGCGTGTGTGGACTCCGGCTGTGAAAACTGTAGGAGCAGGACACTCATTTCAGGCCTGAGCTACTGTAAAACCAACAGGGTCACAGACCTGCAGACTTAAGACACGTGGACATATAAAGACACAACCTGATGCATTTCTTAAAAAGCACATAAGGATTTGATTTCCAATACCACAGCATCCACAGGGAAATCTATTAGCCACCATTGCCACAGCATAATTTAACAGACTACAGGTTTTTGGGTTTTTCTCTTCTGCTATGGACGATGCTGGAGGTGCACAGATGAATGATTAAAATTTGGTTTAGGACAAAAAGAACAGGCTGGTGATGTAAACTACAGATGATAACAGGATGGAGTTTGAGATTTCCTTTTCTGCTCTTCCTCTGAGGGCTGAACAAACTGGGCAGAGCAACAGTTTAGCATCTGAGTATTAAAATGCCCTCCACAGGGCAGGTCACTGTGCTGTTATTTAAATTCCCCCCAAGAGTAAAGCGGAGCAAACAGAATTTTTACCTGTACCTGAACTAGGCACTTTCTGAACGTCCCAAAGAATGATGATATTTTTTGAGATGAAGGCTGGAAAGGTGTTTCAGAAAAGGCATGCTTCAGGTGCAAAATGTCTTTTCAATTTGTATTTCTTAATAAGCAAGGTGCATGCCCTGAGAAAAAGGTTTTTAATATGTTATAGGTGATGTTTTACTGAAATAAACTAAAGTATAAACAGGAGTAGTTCACAGGATAAGCAAAGGGTTCCCCCACTTCCTTTATGTCCTTTACTTAATATCTATTACTGCTTTAAAACTTAATGCTCTGCTTAATACATTTGGCTTATGAGGCTGGTAGGAATTTTAACATTTAGTTTGCCTTTTAAAAAAGCAGCCATAACATTTGATGAGTTTCTGGTAACCCCAAAACACCTTTCACCTAAATACCTTTCCCATTGAGAAAAGCCACACTAAAGCTTCCAGACCCAGAGCGGAGACTGCAGCCGAGCTCCAGCCTTTGGACAGGCAGTCACAGCTCCATTCCTAAACCTACTGCCAAATGCTTTCATAGCCCTGAGTAAAGGAAAGAAAGCATTTCTAGTAAAAATCACTTTCTAACTCAGTAATAGCCTTGTAGCAATCCAAAAAAAAAGTTAAATAAGTCACATTAAAGAAAATTCTGCAAGGGCTTGCTGCTTACTGGAATATTTAAAAATCAGAAGAAACTCTCAGAGAAATTACATCATAAAATAGCACATGCATTTCTTCAGCAACTTAAAACAACTTTTTTTTTTTTTTGCTTTTCTGCTATTTCAAAGGGGAATAATGTTCCCAACAGCCCCAGAAGGCCTGAGGCTCCCCTCAAATATTAGTTTTTGTTTGGCTTATGCCAAATGTAGAACTTCCCCCCAGATTTGCAGTTATGGTTGGGACAGCTGTCACTCCAATGCCTCCCCAGTTAGAACCTGCTCCACAAATGACGCCTCGTTGTCAACTGGAACCCCACACAGCAAAGATTCCAAACTCTGAGTGTCAAACTTTCCTTTATGACTTCACGTGAAAATAAATTTTTTTTTTTTTTTTTATTCCATTTTTGCCTAAAACTTTTACAGTTCCAGAAATGCAGTATCGGGCCTCCTCGTTTACTGCTGACCCCAAACAACCCCCCACGTTGCCCCCCCATATACACATTCCCCAGCATCAAGAAGCAGCTCCTCTGCTTACTGCCCGTCAGCTGAAGGAGGAGCTGGCAATCTTTCAGGGCAACTTCTCAGAAAAGCAGCAGCGAAGCTGCCAAGCTCAGCCCTAAAACAGCCACTGAGCCAGGCTTAAAACCCCTCCCAGCAGTTGCGATTAGCAGCCAAGCACTTAAACCCGACCACATCCCGCGGAGAACTTTCCAAGCGCTTTGGCTTTACGGGACGCAAGCAGGACGGAGCTGGGCTCTCGGATGTTTTCTGGGAGCGATGGATGAGGAAGGGCAGCATCTCCGCGTGGAAGAACGTGGCAGCACGTCCCTGGAAGCGAGCACCGCTCCCTCCTCGCTCCCCACTCAGGTGTGGCTGGTGGGGTGTGAACACCCGACGGGCGGCACCGCGGGGGGGGGGTTTGGGGGCGCGCGCCTGTTCCCACGCGTGTCCCGAGGGGGGGCGGGCAGCGCACCCTCAGGCGGCCAGGTCGAAGTCGTCGCGCTCCTGGTTGTAGTCGAGCACCTTCTGCCGGAGGCGAGAAGCGTCCACCCAGGTGATGAAGTCCTCCACGGCGCGGGGGACGAGGAGAGCCGGGTCGGTCACCACCTCGGGCCCCACGCGGACGTGGCCCTGCTCCACGAAGGTGACGGCGTGGCGGAGGTTCTGGGCCATCCGCAGCTTCACCAGCAAGCAGGGCAGGCGCCGGCGGCAGAAGGCGGCGGCCGAGAGGCTCTCGCAGGCGGCCAGCGACCCCCGGCTGCCCACCAGCCCCAGCCCGTACAGCTTCTCCAGCAGCGCGGCGGCGCAGCGGGCGCGGAAAGCGGCGCTGCCCGGCCCCAGGTCGCGGAGGCGGCGGGCCAAGGCGCGGATGGCGCGGGCCAGCGCTTTGTACTGCGCGTAATCCTCCCGCCGGCCCAGCCGGTAACGCCGCAGCGCCTTCACCTCGGCCAAGCTCCCCGCCGCCGCCTCCCAGCTCACCAGCTCCAGCCGCCGCAGCAGCTTCTGCTCGTGGTACTTCAGCTTCCGCACCATCTCCCCCCCGCTCCGATTCCGCTCCGATTCCGCTCCGATTCCGCTCCGCGCCCGCCCTTTCCGGGGAGGAACCGCCGCGCTCCGCCCCGGCGAGAGGAACAGGCCGGGCCCGGACCCCTCCCCTCCCCGCCCCCGGGTGCTCTGGGCGGCCGAGAGGTTTTGCGCGGGGGGGTGCGGACCCGCCGTTTCTCCTGCGGGGTTAGGATGGCCCCGGGTCTCTTTCCGCGCTGTGCCGGGGCAGGGAAACGTGGCAGATAAACCACGGCTCGGCTGCCGGGGCGAGGGGCCGGGGATGCTTGCTCAGGGCTGCTGCCTAGGCTGGGGTGCGGCGGCTGCCCCCGAGCCCCCGGGCCAGCCGGGCTCGGAGGTGGCACCCCACGCGTGAGCCGGGGAGGGTCAGACCTTCCCAAACAACCTCTCCTGCGCGGGCAGCCCGGCCTTTTCTCTCCAGGGATCAAACCCAGGCTTTGTCCTTCCTCTTGGAAAAACGGCTGCGGCGTTGGTTTTCTCCCTGACATGCTTCTCCCCCAGATGCGTAAGCCGGTTTTGTTTACAGAGGAGCTGCAAAAACTTCCCTCTCTGCCGTTCGTACAAGGAGGAGCAGCTCTAGGTCGTAGCCCGGCGGGGAGGGAACTGCCTTCACGTCTGAAACTCGCTGCTCTTGGGCTTGCTCTTCCCTCTCTGTGCCCAAGGAGTGAGGCTGGTGCTGCTCTGCATCGCAGCACCTCCACCTCCCGAGTCGTCCTCCACCACATCCCCAGCCAGACCTTTCCTCCCTGCACGGTGTTGTCTGATCCTTGGGTTTCAGGACGCTCAGCTCCAAGGAAATTCCCCAACAGAGCAGGTCAGGTTGGTGACTTGGGATTTCAGATCTCTGATTCTCATAAGCAGATTCTTGTATCAGCTCGGCCCTGAATTTCCTACTCCTGGGTTTTCAGTGTGCTGGATTTTTTTCAGGGTAGGTGATCTGGCTGCACAGGCCATGGCAGTATCTTGATTTGCTTTGTGTTTTTCCCCAGGTTTGTCGATGAAGGCACCAATGGAAATGGAGACGAGCCGCACTGAGAAGTTTTATAGGATCCCTAATGGAAAGGGGCCACACTCAGTTGGATGTACAGACCTGATGACAGAAAATGCGGTTGAGGTAAAGCTCTCGGTTCTTCCTCCTTTGGATTTAGGCCACAATGTTAGTGAAAGCAGTTTGTTGTAGTTTTACAGATGAATCAAACAGAAGGTCTTGTCTGTGTGTAGGGGTGCCCCATGGCTGACACTCACAGCTGTTTTCTATCCTCTCCATCCCAATGTAGGATGTGTACTGGGTAGTACTGGATGTGTAGGATGTGTGTATCAGATGGATGTAACCTGTAAGCCTTCCCCATGGCTGCTTCCTCCCTCCTCCTAATATCCTTGCTTTCCTGACTCCCCTACAGAGGCTACTGCAGGGAAGCTGTGTCCCCCTGGCACCCACGGGGCTCTTCCCACCCACCCCACCGCTCCCTTCTGCGTTGGACTCCTTGGGGAGGCTCCACACACAGTCTCCATCACTGTAGCTGTTCTGATCACAAAGATCCTGGTGGGATTTGGCGGGGTTGGGTGATGAGGGTATGTAGTGTTTCAGCTGCAGGGTAAAGCATGACATGTCTTCTTGAAATTTTATCTCTCTGAAAAAGAACAGGATGGCAGTTTTACAAGTGGTTGGTACAGAGAGAAGCCACAATACGAAGATGGGGACAGTAAATCGCCAGCTAATGAGCTCACTTATTGGTTTTCATTTCAAATCCTCTTCCTTTTTAAATTTTCTATGAGGACACACCTGCATTTACACAGTGTTTTTACTCCTCAGACTAGCCAGGTTTGGTGAAACTTGTGATCAGTTTGTAGTGGTTATTCCTACATTTTCCATTACTCTACTGAGCTTACTCTGTATTAGCACAAAGAAGCAGTTAGTTTCTTTTTGCAATCAGCCCATGTCTGTTTCTTAGATAAGCAATCCCTATAATTACAGTTCTCTCAGGCATAAACAATGAACGTCTTTCCCTTTCTGGTAAGCAGTTAGTCACCTGGGGACATTCACTGGGACTATTCTGGGATCAAATTAATATCATTATCATTATGGATGAAGGTTTGATGATTTCTTCCTTAATGGTCTTTGTGTCAAAGATTGATTTAAGTTTGATGAGTAAGTAGAAATAAGCTTAATTAAAAAAGCTTTTGGTACATGTTGTGTGTGAAACTGATAAATTAGCGTTCAAGAAAGCAGACTTTATTACAAAGCTCATGTTCTTTTTGGCCCTAGACTTCACTTGTAAAAACAAAAGTACAGATGGAGCGAGATAGTGAATTTTGAATAGTGTGTCACAAATTCCCTTGCAAACCAGGAAGTAAGAGTGCAAATGACACACAGTTCATCTGCCAGGAGGGCTGCTTTAAGGTGTGCCACTGGTACTTTGCTGCTATCAGCATAGGAAAAATACTGTCCGGGGGGTATGGAGGGTCCGTGTAAATGTGGAAGGCTCGGGTGGTTTCCTGGAAGACCTGGCGTGCAGACAGTAAAAGAAGATTCAAACTGGTGGTAAGAAACAGAGGCAGATAAAACACAGGTTAACAAACTTGTGCTTAGAAAGATGGACCACTACAGACTTGTAAACATCTTCATGAGGAGGAAGAACAATACATTGCAGTCCTTTGCTGTGCAGCTGCCCAAGAGCTTTACTGAGAGGCTGTTGCTCAGTTTAGCCAGGAACACTATAGCCACGTTGAGACCATGTGCCTGACTCTACGCACATCTCCTCTGCTGGACCATGCTCCCAGAAACTGATCTCAGGGCAAAATTTTTCTGGTTAACCTAGCAGAAAAATATACTTCTAGGAGGGTCTTTTTTTACCCTCAGTTTAGCAAGCTGAACTGGGTCAGTAGCAGCTCCACGAGACTCACTGGTGCAAGGAAAGCATTGACAGCTCCCAGCTGGAAGGGTGAAGGAGACACAGTCACCCCTGTTAAACTGATCAAACTGCGTCGTTGTACCATTCCCCAAAAGGAGGCATAGTGAGGAAAACAGAAAAAAGATCCAGCAAGATGCAGAAATAGAGCAAATAGGTTGTGAGTGTTTGTAACCACTAACTTAATTAAATGGAGGATTTTGCATTATCCAGAGGCTAACCTAGAGATGGTGACGTATATCTCTGGATGCCAACAGTCATGCTACTTTAAATTCATTGCAGGGACAAAAAGATAGTGACATAGGATTGGCATCAAAGCCTGTATAGAATAATAATTTTCTTGTGAGATTCTCTTAATTCTCTTGAGCTGTCATGCTTTCATCTTAAGCCCTTGACATAAATGTTTTTATCTTCCTTTTTTTCTGCCATATAGAAATAAATATCAATCTTACTTTTTTTCTTTTTTTTTTTTTTTTTTTTCCTTCTTAATCCCAGGGAAGCTTCTTGCGCCTGTATTATCCATCATGTGATGCCACAGATCATGAAGAGGCACCGTGGATTCCAGATAAAGAGTACTATCAGGGACTCTCTGACTTCCTTAATATGTACCGAGTTGTAGGAGAGAGGCTTTTCCAGTACTATGTTGGTAAGACCAGTTTGGATTTTATTCCTTGACTAGTGCAAGGGCATGAGTTCTGTATGCACGTCATTGCCATACTGCTCCATGACCAGTGTGTTACTGCTACAGGACTCAAAAATAGTTTATTCCCAAAAGGTATGTTTGTCTGGGATTGGTTTGTGTAGTGAGGCTCAATGTTGAATGTCACCCAGTTCTCAGGCAGACCTGCAGTCTCTGACTGCTATGATTAGGAGTGTCCGGGCAATTTGCTCTAGGAAGACCTTGGGTAAGCTGCACTTATGTGTTGGGACTTAAATCCCATGGGAAAATCTGCAAATATACAAAGGTCAGATAGATACTAAGGTCTGAATACCAACAAGACTTGGGAGCCTGACTGCTCTTGAAAAATCTGTTCTCATAGGGTTTAAGAGATTTGTAGGCCTTGTGCTAGGCTGTGGATGGGAGGAGGAGAAGGAAAGTAACATCTGCCAAGTAGAAAGTATTTTCAAAATCAGATCCATATTTGTCTTCCATATTTTAAGGATGTGATTTGGTACCTTATTGTCAGATGATGGCTCTGAAATCAGTGGTCCCCAGATTCTTGAGATCACTCCCACAGTAATAAATGCTTTCTCCCATTTCAGTAATAATGACATATGCTTCGATTTTTATCTAGGTTCAGTGACCTGTCCTGCAAAGTCAAATGCTGCTTTTAAGCCAGGAGAAAAATACCCACTCCTCGTTTTTTCCCATGGACTTGGAGCTTTTCGGTAATTCTGCAGTTTGTTGACAAACTATTTTTGTCATCTATGGAGACAGCAGTCTCCAAGGGTGGTTCTGAACAGATTTTCAGTAGGGGGGGTGAGATCCCTGTGGAATTGAAACAAATTTGAAGAACAGGCTGCTCTGTATCAGTATGCCTCCACTGAAATCAACAGCAGTAAATAAAAGCGGGGTTGATGTATTTAGTTGTGCTTCCCCTTGGTATTTTAGAGGTGAAGGTATTTACCAATCCCTAAGCATGTTGTGAAGATTAGATAGTTGATTTTTGGACAGTTCTTTCAAGATGGAAAGTGTTATATGTGCTACTTTTAAAAATCATTAGCAGTCTTCTTTCTGAATAGATAGTAAAACAGTAACCAGGTTTTGTGAACAGGGTTTGGTGCCTGGCATACAGAAGCCCGCTCTACTGGCTAGCAAATTCAAACCGAAGAAATACTGAATGGGGGCTAGCGCGTACGTAGCATGGTCAACATTTAAAGAGCAGTGAAATAATTGAAATAATTATGTATGCACATGTCTCACCAGAGTGTGGTTTTCATTGCAGGACGATCTATTCTGCTATTTGCATAGAGATGGCTTCTCAGGGCTTTATAGTGGCTGCTGTGGAGCACAGGTGTGTATACTGCACGTTTTTGAGTTCTGATGGAAAGAAACTTTCCGATATTGATTAGAATGTTATTTATTCTACAGAAGACCTTACAATTTAAAAAAAAAAAAAAAATCTTCTTCAGTCCTGCCCACACCCCCCATTTCTCTAGCTCAACTCCTATCTAAGCAAAGGGAATTTGCTTAGATAAGCCCTTGAATGAAAAGTCCCAGGGTAGATATCATTTGTCATTCTTCAGGCATGCTATTTTTCTCTCTCTCATTGTTAGAACCTGGAGAATATAAAGGAGGTTGGAGTTTTGGTGGGGTTATCGCATTATTTAAAAAGTCTGTCTCTACTCAGTTGTGATTGCAGCAGCACTGGTTGGTAGCTGGATCTCGAGATAAGTGAAATCTAAAACTTCTGCTGTCTTCATCTCAAACCAAACAGAATACACCCCCCAGAAATAACCTTTTGTTGATATTACAGAGATGAATCTGCTTCAGCAACGTATTATTGTAAAAAAAAGTCCGTTCCTGAACGACAGCAAGAATCTACATCAAACATGGAGAAGGAGTGGATCTACTACAGGAGACTAAAAACTGGAGAGGAAGAGCGTTGTTTGCGCCATAAGCAGGTACTCATTCTAGGTCTGTTCTCTCGAAGGTGAGGCAGGAGTGGTGTGTTTAGGACTAACTAGCAGACTCTTTCCCTTTGGCCATGTCTGCAGTTTTCTGCCGTGACTCTGGGGATATATAAAAACGCACCAAGTCCTATGTTCCTGAGGATGAGAAAGCCAACAACAGCTTTCTACAGAGCATAAGCTACTTCCTCAATAAAGCCTTCTCATGAAGTCGCACTGTCAAACTTCGTGAGCTGTTCCTCCCCTGGTTCCACTCAACTTTCTGTTTCTTCTCTGTGCCTTCACACTTTTGCTGCCCAACCCAACCCAACTCACAGAGTTGAATCCAAATGCTTGTGTGGCCTTAGGCTTGCTTTGCTTTTGTTTATGGCTGGATAGTAAGATGAATCATGGCTGCTTTAAGGGAGATGCTCGCTTCATCATCTTCAACACACTTTAGCACAGTTTATAGCAATGTAAACAATGAGGACTTCCTGATTATAAGCAGCATTCATGCTAATGTGACATGGCCATACTGATGAGCTCCTCCAAGCATAGACTTGACCTTTAAAAGATGGGAGTGTTTTCTTCCAGCAAATGCAAACTCAGCCAGGGGGGTGTTTCTTTTTATCTCCCTGGGCCATACAGACAGCAGTACAAGTGTAATTTCCTGTGTGCATACAACAATCCTACTTACAAGACTAAATACATAATGTCTGAGCTTGGAAATAACCTCCAGAAACCATTGCCTGCAAATTTCACTAGTAGAGATGTCAGGAAATTGAGATTTAGTTGAAATTCAGTGATGCATAGACATCATGCTGGGTGCCTACACACTGCATTCCACTGCTGTTCTTTGGTTCTTTTTGAAGCTTTTCTTTCACTGACATATCAGTCAAAACCACTTCTTATACTGAACAATGAAAACCTTTATTTGCAACAGCTTTGCTAGTTTTCAAGAATGTGTAAATATGTAAAATGAGATGGGCTTCTTGGCTGTTTCTTATTTTGTGTTTATCCAGTGTAAAGACAGTTTCAAAGCTATTGTGCAGATGGGGCAAGTGATGTAATGACATTTGCTCATCAAAGTGAGCATGAGGAGGAGCAGCGAGTCAGCCTTCCTTTCAGTTTTGTAATTTAAGCCTTTGCACATCCCAGCAGCCCCTTCTCTGAGTAGTGACAGGACGGAGGAGTTGAAGGTCTTTGGCAGACATTATATGGATAAGTTCCTCTGCATGCAGAGGATCTCAGCAAGAGCTTCAACTCTTTGGACCTCCAAAAGTCAGTTTTGTTGTTGGTCAGACCTTGTCAGAGTTCCATTTTACAGTTCCATTCTGCAGCTCAGAATAGTCGTTACCATATCAGACACTTGGGGGGGGGAAAAATCAGACCAAGTCTTGTGTCCAAAGGACCAGCAAGCCTAGCAGTTGTCTAATAATTTCTTCCACTGCTCTGCCCTAATTCCTCTTTCTTCCAGGTGCAGCAAAGAGCACAGGAATGTATCAAAGCTCTCAATCTCATTCTTAAAATCAATTCTGGAGAGGAAGTAATGAATGTACTAAATTCAAACTTTGACTGGAATAGCCTAAAGGTGAGTGAGAGGCAGTGACTGTGTTTTGTTAAACACTTAATAATGGTTCTGGTTTCCCTCTTCCATTTATAAACTGATTTCTGTAAACCTCTGAAGATCACACTGTAGATCTATGAACATATTCTCAGGTCATCCCAAGCTGGATAGGTAGTTGGTAGATGGAGCTGAAATGATGCTCTTATTACTTCAGTAGGATGTATTGCCTAAAAAATTATTCCCTTCTTAAAAAAAAGGTTTGGGAAAGAAAGTCTCTTACAGCACCTGGATTTTTTTGACAGGATTCTGTTGATACTAGCAGAATAGCTGTGATGGGACACTCTTTTGGTGGTGCTACAGTTATTGAGAGTCTCAGCAGAGAAATAAGATTCAGGTAAGTAAGCAAAACAAGGCAAGAGACATCTGGCACTTGAGAGGTCTGGAGCAGGGGACCTTAACTAAGATCCCCCAGCTAATGATTAGCTCTTGAAGAAGAGTTTTGTTTGGCATGTCTTGTTTTCTCAAGTCATGCTTCTTTCCACTGTGGGGATGTGGTGGAACACAATAGCTGTATCATATTACAGTATGATACTGTGGGACCCTGCAGAAGCTCCTGTGCCCAGCTGCACCTGGCAATGGAGACCAACAAATGCAATAACGGATTAATTCTCTTCCCCCAGAGTAGAAATCATTTAAAACCAAAATGATTCATTAACCTGTTTACCTGTTCAGTATCATAGAGTTTCTCTTTCCCATGTCTCCTGCAAATCAAAGCATGCTGAAAACTTCCATACAAAGCTTTCTGCTTCTGTGACAATATCCAGTTGTTTCTGACAGGTGTGGCATTGCCCTCGATGCATGGATGCTTCCAGTAGGTGATGACATTTACCAAAACAGTGTCCCGCAACCGCTGCTTTTTATCAACTCTGAAAAATTCCAGTGGGCTGATAATATCTTAAAGATGAAGAAGCTTGGATCCAATGACACAAACAAGAAAATGATCACTATCAAGTAGGTGTCCAGGATCAATCACTTCTATGGGTGAAGATGAATCTTTACTCTTGTTGGAGCTGCTCAGTTACATGTAACTGCAGTCAGTCACTACTTCCTCATGGCCCAGGTTTTCACTGCACGTTTAAATTAGACAGCAGTACGTCCCCCACAGTGGAGACAGAGACCTCTCTCCAAGCTGCCAGTAACCCTAAGCTTAAGGTACTCCAAGGTGTGCATTCCTGCCTTGGGGCACAAGTTTTGCTCCGGGCCTCAAGCATCATCTGTGTTTGAACACTTTGAATAGCTGCCTAGGTCTGGTTATGCACTCACCTGGTGAAAACACTTCATGCAGGGGAGTGGATGGCTCTATAATCCACCTTACACTCAGGGCAGAGGGATAGCTTCATCTTTAAGTTTTGCCAGGCCCGCTCTTTATTGCTGCTGTAATTATAGTCGCTTACAGTAAGCATATACAAAACTTCCTCCCTTCTGTGGTTAGGACAGAATTTACTGCTAATCTTGCATGGTCATGAGATTAACCTGTTTTATCTTCTTCTGCTAAAGAAGACAGATGCGTGACTGTCTTTGGATAAGTCTGTGCAACACACAGCATCTTTTAATCAGACAACTGCGTTCTTATAAACCTGTTGATCACTGTTCTATTTGCAGGGGGTCAGTACATCAGAGCTTTCCTGACTTTACCTTTGTGAGCGGAGAAATCATTGGAAGATTTTTCAAATTGAAAGGAGAAATAGATCCAAATGAAGCTATTGATATAAGCAATCATGCTTCATTAGCCTTCCTGCAGAAACATTTGAGTAAGTATCTGTTTATGCCAAATTATGAAATTAAATTAATAGTTAATTCCTATGAAGCTTTTAATATAACCATTCTGTTTAGAACAAGATCAAAAATAAGTGTATCAGAAAAGTAGAAAAAACAACAGTCAGACTCTCTTTCTAGAGGTTTGTTAGATACTTTTGTAATCTAAACAAATCAGAGGAGGAACATTGCAGTTTTGTTCTAACATGTAAAAACCTAAAACATCATGCCTCCCCTGCTTTGCCAAATTGACTCAGCTGTCCTACAATTTACTTTGTAAAGCTACACTGAAAAAAAAGCCGACTACTTAATTCATTACCACTTGGGTTTTCTTTCTTCCATTTTGTAGGTCTTAAGAAAGATTTTGATAAGTGGGATTCTCTTGTGGATGGCATAGGACCCAATGTTATTCCTGGCACCAATATTGACTTATCTCCAGCTGAACCTGAATAAGGAGTACCAAGAAGTACTGAAAATGCCACAGACATCAGGACACTAATGTTGGCCAGACATTGTTCAGACATGTGATAGCATTGGCCACCTACACAGCTTTTGGGGTGTGGAACAAACAAAAAATAAAAATCAGGCATTAGGTTATATTGTCACGAAAATGTAGAGAGGTTTTAGTTCAAATGAGTTAATGGGAGTCTCTCAAATGCTGCAACAGGGTAACTTCTGCTTTATAGGCAGCTGGGGGAAAAGTTACCTGATGGTAATTGAAATGCTCTTCTTGGTTTTGATTTAGTTTGCAGAGAGAGAGATTAAGCTTCAAGGAATTCAACTAAAGTTCTGCTTACCAAGCTTTAAGCCAGTTTGCATCTAGCAAGCCTTTTTTGCAGTGTAAGAAAAAAAAAAAAATCTTTAATTAAACTACTCAGTATTTCAGCTGTGCTCTGTCAACAGTTGAGAGTTGGAGGACGTTTTTGCTCCTTCTAATGAGAGGTGCCAGTGGAAGGTGGTCTTCAAAACTGCCTTATTTAAATGAGTCAGGAAATAAAAGCTACAGGAAATAGTTTAAGATAACAGCAGAGAAAGGTGTTTATTTAGACACAGGACTTCTCATATGAACTTAATCCACTTACATTTAAAGATTGTGTTTACTGCCATACTCAGATGATGTTTCCATTCCAAAAGCTGCTGCAATGGTCACTCTTGTAGCAACTGTAATTCCCCTTAAGTGAAGCTTGAAGCAGGGCCTGTCTCATTAATCTCTGCATTACCACTATCAGTCAGTCATACTGTTGTAGGTAAAATTACAGAAGAGATGTGTCACTTCTACCACTCCCTTTAAAAAGGATTATGTAATCATTGCTTGATCATCTTGTTGTCTCTCGTGGTTGTAATACTGTCCAGACAGTTGTCTTTGTCGAGGTGCTAGCACTGCAGCCTGTATCTGTCAGTAGAAGCAGCTGACTGTGTGGTTGGCTAAAGAAGGATATGATTTTTAGAACAAAACTCTTTAAAGCTGCCACATGGAAGGGTGACTTCTAAATGAATAAGCCTTGCAAAAGGGGGACTACTTCTAACTGTAGCCTATTTGTTTCAAAATCAGGTTACAAACAAAAACTGAAGCAAGCAGAGCAAGCAAAGCAGTTAACAGTATAATTAAATATTTATATAATCTGTGGTCTTAACATGAGATTGCACAACATATAAGACTTGTTCCCAGAATTTAATTAAATTCTCTCCAGCCTACCACCACGTATTGTCTCTTTTAAGGGAATAAACATGCAAGTGTTTCTCTTACTGAGTGAGCACTAAGACTTGAGATCTACTGTGATACTCACCCAGACTACTACGTTATCAGAGGTCTTGTGCTCCTAAGTCATTATAGCAGCGTGAAAAATCCACAGCCTCTGAGGAGGAGGAAGCAGCTATGGTATCCAGGAGCATGGAGCAGGACTATAAAATAGGAGCCTCTTTTCAACACAGGTTGTGGTTTAGGCCCATCTGGCAACTGAGCACCATGCAACTGCCCGCTGACTCCTCCCCCCCAGGGATGTGGGGAGGAGGATATATATAACAAAAGTCTAATTGTTCGAGACAAGGACAGGGAGGGCTCACTCACCAATTATGGTCACGGGCAAAAGACAGACTGGACTTGAAAAACCCCATCAGTTTAATTTGAACACCACCACCACTAATAATTGACCAATAAAATCAGAGTAGGACAGTGAGAAATACAACCACATCTTAAAAACACCTTCCCCCCACCTCTCCCTTCTTCCTGGGCTCAGCTTTGCTCCCGATTTCTCTACCTCCTTCCCATCAGCAGCGCAGAGGATGGGGGTTGCAGTCAGTTGTCTCTACTGCTCCTTCCTCCTCAGGGGGAGGACTCCTCACACCCTTCCCCTGCTCCAGCGTGGGTCGCTCCCACAGGCTGCAGCTCTTCACATACTGCTCCAGTGTGGGTCCTTCCCACAGGTCACAGTCCTCCCAGCAACAGACTGCTCCAGCACAGGCTTCCCTCAAGAGTCCCAGTCATCTTTAGACACATCTACCTGCTCTGGCATGGGGTCCTCCATGGGCTGCAGGTGGGCATCTGCTCCACACTGGACCTCCATGGGCAGAGCCTGTCCTCTCACCATGGACTGCAAGGGAGTCTCTGATCCAGTGTCTGGAGCACCTGCTTTCCTTCCTTCTTCAACGTCCTTGGTGCCTACAGAGGTGTTTCTCTCACATCCTCTTCCTCTTCTCTGCTCCCCCCTCCCAGCAGGCTCTTCTCCTCTTAAATATGTTATCGCAGAGGTGCGACTGCCATCAATGATAGGCTCAGCCTTGGCCAGAGGCAGGTCTGACTTGGAATCAGGGGAGCTTCTAGAAGCTTCTCAGAGGAGCTACCTCTGTAGCCCCTCTCCAGCTACCAAATCCCCACTCCACACAAACCCAACACAACACATGAGGTGAAGAATAAAAGGTGTGATAAGCTGCAGCTGTTTTAAGGAGAAGTCCTTACCACACTGTATACATGCAGCAGAAAAACCATTCTACTAGGTCTGCTTCATATGTATAAGAAAAAGCTTCATCTTTCATTAGCACAATTAAGGCCAGATCATACATAGAAGTTCTATTTTGTACATGGCTGATGTTTCAAGGCATTCATCATACCCCACAGTGCTCTAGGAAGCTGTTTAGGGTCAAAACAAAACTAGTAACTGCAAAATGTGCACAGCTACATCTAACTGCAGTAGTACAGTTGAATAAAGATACTCAGTATGCACACAGCATTTGGGCTTACGCACAGGGAAAGAACAAAAGTCATTAACAAAACACTGATCAGTATATGCCAGCTCAATCTTTATTCCAGCTTTTTCCACTGCTTTATTACAGCATCAAATGCAAGACTTCAACCCAAAACAACTATGTTCTCTTACAGAGAAAAAACTGCCCCCCCCCAACAAAAAGGTACCCTCAACTTTTCTTAGAGGAAAAAAAAAACCACTCAGTGCAACTTTTCAAAAAGCAAACATCAGAAAGCAGTATTGTGCAACACAGTAGCCTATATGGCAACTCCCAAGAAACCCTTGTTCAAGAACCACCCACCAACTGCTAGATACAAATTAGTGTGCACACACATTCAGTAAGGAATGCCAGTCAAGAGGCAAATTCTTATTCAAGTGAAGAAAGTACAGCTATAAGAAGCCAAGCTGACGATAGCAGTCTACCAACAAGCACCATTCTTTGACAGGGAATCATAGTACTGACAAACATTTGCTCAGTTACATAGAATAAACACTTAATACTTTGCTTGTATTCTTGTTCCCATGAAAACACAGTTTCATGGGAATGTTTGTATACACAGGTACTTGTTCGGCTTTATGTGGTGAACATGTCAGTTTGTTTCAGGAATGTTGGAGGGCATGAGGATCTTCAGTTAAATCTGAACTGCAGCCCGTGTGCTTTTCTACAGGGAATAAAAGATTAGACCCATCAAGATATTTCTGTAAGCAAGTATAAATGCATTAATATCTAAAATCATAGCTCTACAGGGCTTCAGAATAAACATCATCAACACAGACCATATTAAAGACTACACTTATGCAAAGTTATAATATAAGGATAAGACAGTTCAAACAACAGAACTGACCAGGAAGATGAAGCAAGGAGTGCTCCCAGATTTCAGTTACAACTTCAAGCTACTCCATCCCTCAGTGGGCTTAGCATAAGCTACCACAGGAGTTTTCGCACCCTGTGGATCAGGTACTTTCTACTCAAACTGCCCTTCCAGGCAGTGGCCCACGTGCGCAGCAAGATCCAGTTTTGTGCCACATGGTTGCATGACCTTAGCTCCCATTTCCTGTGCTGTTGCTGAGAGGGTACATACACTAATACTGTGCAAAGTATTCAAGAACACAGACAGTGAGTGAATTTGGACAATAGTAACTAGCAACCAAATAGGGGAAAAAAAATAAAATGAAGTGGTAAAAACTGTAAAAGTATTATCAAAACCAGAAAGAGCAAGATCAAGAATAATCCTGCACTTGAGTGATTTGAGGGAGGATATGTAGATTCACTAGTTTAACATTTTAAATTGAGTTCTTCTAACTACTTTTTGCCCAACAGGTAACCACATCCCTGTTGCAGGCTTCATTATTTATTACCCATAAACCAGCCAGCTTTCAGTACAGTTGCACTGAAATACAATTACCAATATCAATCACTGAAACCACAAATGCTATCTCTGCTTAAGCTTAGTCCAGTCTCCATCAGGCAACCACTGGTCAAACAGGAATAAGGTGCCCAGAGAGGTTCTGGAGTGTCCATCCTTGGATAACTTCCAGAGCTGAAATGAAGGTCCTAAGCAACCTGATGTGGTTGACCCTGCTTTGAGCACCTCCAAAGGTCCCTTTCAATCAGAACTCCTCTATGATTCCATAGATTATAGCAATAGTAAATAATCAGAAAGAACCTGTACTATTTTCTTTGGTACACAGAATAGGTGTTCTCCAGTAACACTTCAAAATTTGTAAGTAACAATAAAGATGTATGTGCACTATTCACAAACTATCCTTACAACAACTAAGATGTTATTATTATGGGTTTAGATTCATAGACCAAGATCTATTAAAGGCATTCAAATCCCAAACTAAAGTGCTTAGTAGAGTCTGCCTTGCAGTCACTCATCTCGCCTCCGGAACGGGAGCAAGAGTAGCATGCTGGTGGCCAATGCTCAAAAGCCTAGAAAAACCTGTACCTTCAGTGTACCACCCCAGTTTGTCCAAGAGGCTCAATCTACTAGGTTGAATAAATAAATACTAACTTGATTTCTAATCAAGCCACAGTAGCAGCTTTCATTGCATATATTCACCATTAAACTGACAGTATGTAAGTTAATGCTACTAAGAAAATTACAACAGTATTAGAGTAAATACATAAGCTCACAGAAGTGTTTCAACTGTATTTTCTAAAATAAAGCATTTTCTAGAAAATTAGAAAGCATCAAAACACCAAGTACACAACCTCTCTGGGAGGTTTAAGGTAGTCTCTTACCTTGAAGTAGGGACTCCTCTGGTAAGGACTGCGCTTTTTCTGTTGCAGGGGTTGTTGCCTAAACAAAAGGGGATTCTGTTAGGAAGCTGGCACTATTGCCAAGATAGTTTTCCATCGAGATGAGGTGCTTCCTTTAGTATTTGACTAACTTTTTATATCAGCACTCCTGGACCCCTATTTACTACTGGTTTCCCCCCTTATAACTCACTACAAAAGTCTCCTGCCCACTTTTCACTTTGATGCAAAAACTGCATGTGAAGAAAGAACTGGAAATTCATTCTGTTAGCTGCAGCAGCAGCATGGGTGACTATATGAATTTTGGGTTTCAGACATGATTTTTTCATTTGTTGGTACTTTATGAAGAACACAGGTGAAAACCTTATTATAATTTCCTAATTACTTTGTAATAGTATGAATAGTATGAGTATACATCATTTACCAGTTAGTTACATGCTCTACTAGCATGATCTGTCAAAAGCCACATATCAGCATTGTTCTACAGTTCTTGATTAATAAGTATTCCAGTAATATTTCTTCCTTCAAGCTGTTTTCATTAATCTATTCCCAGAATGAATTCACAGTCCTCAGGCCAAAAGGCTGACAGTTTATATAAATCTATAAAAACAGTTTACATAAATTATATCAGTTATATAATATATTTATACAAATCTTAGAGTCTTCATAGAGATCTATTAGAGACGGAAGGACAATACGACGTCTTAAAGAAAAATACTGTGCTTCTAGTGGTTGGCTTGAATGCACAGGTTTAGATTAATGCTACTTTGCCTTTCTATTCTCATGGTGACACAGGAAGAATCACAACTAAACTCAGAGTGCCCTTTCTAAAAATCAGCACTGTCCTGCCCAGTCCACTACCACACCACCATACCTCAGATGATCTGCAAGCCCAGTCAGGAATACCGTTCCAGACATTCTCAGGATCCACAATCTCCTCATCACCAGTGGAGAGATTCAAGACCTGTACAGACATAGCCAAATTGTATCTAGCACAGCAATGCATCCTGAGAATACACTCAGCAAATAAGACATAGTAGTAGGAAAACACAATTGAGGACTCCCTGCCTTTGAGAAGGCTTTCAGTCTGGATCTTGCAAGGGAGAGCAAGTTAACCTCTCATAAAGCTAGATATCACTACTGAACCTGCTCAAGGCCCTCCTGGGCTTCTAACCCAAGTATGGTGAGAG